TTATCTCTGTGACCTGGAACATGTTGCTTGTAGTTACCTCTTAAGTACACATAGAACAGAGGTGGAACTGTTTCAAACAGTGAAAGTCCCGAGGACAGTCTCTTTCCAAAGATAATAGATTACGTGCAGGAATTGTTTTAAAAGGATTGTATTTCTTGATGTGTCTGGTGATAGGAATATTTGCCATGTTCTGTAGGTATGGCCAGAACACACTTATCCAGTTTGAAGACTTTGGAAACCACAATGCTTTTCGTTTTTTAAGGAAGTACAGAGAGAAATATTGTACCTTCAATGACGATATTCAAGGTACACCCTTTATGTTCCTTAATGTATATATGGAAATTTTGCCTAAAGCTGTAATCTGCCACAGAAGTTTGGCTCACCTTAGATTTGTGCTGCTTTCACAGGGACAGCTTCAGTGGCTTTGGCAGGACTGCTGGCAGCACAGAAAGCCACGGGTAAACCACTTGCAGAGCAGAAAGTGCTGTTCCTTGGGGCAGGAGAGGTGAGTTCTCTTAAGGGCTCTAGAGCAACAAGAGATTTAACTGTCTATTTTCTGGTTCTGTAGGACTCATGGAGATTCACATTCTCTGAATTCCGTTGCAGGACATTTTATATGAGGTCAGCTGAAACACATTAACAGAAGGGACTACCTGCTGAAAGTTGACTATTTGAAAGGTGTTTAACATTTACAAGACTCAGGTGTTTCACTTTCTTACATGGACTTGAAAAAAGCATCAGTGACTTGTGTGTAGTTGAAGGGGAATGTACCATAAAATTATAATCAGTAAGAGAGAGGGAAAGAGCATCTTGTTGATTTTCTGTAGCATTGGAGAGATGTACATGGTGGTTTTCTTAGCAAGTTAAATCAGTGGCTGTTTGCAGCAAGTTTACTGGGGCAGCTGTGTCAGGACCAGCACCATGCTTCTCGGTATTTCAGTGAAATTGCTTCTGTGGTGCTGTAAAAATAACTTAATTAGCTGAAATCTTCTCCAACCAACCAGGGAAGGTCGTGATTGCAGTAACTGGCCAATGTTGTGTTGTTGCCCTGCTCTGCGCTTTCCTCTACCTTATTTCTCCTGCCAGGTTTAGCAGCATGTGCAGTGAGCCAAGAGAAGGGATGCGGAGGTAAGCACTGCCAGCACCTACTTTGTGCCCTCTGTCAGCAAGCCCTTTGTCACAGGCAGCAGGAGCAAAGACAGGATTGGAAAGCAGCTGGGCGCAAAACATTGTGCTATGGTTTCTTGACAGGAGGGCTTGCAGCACTAAATTATTGTTACTGTCTGGTTGGGCTGCTTTACAGTGGCTGCTGAACTGGTACAGACATGGGGGCACAACACCCAGAAATGCTGCCTCTCTCTTGCACTTGAAAACATGACACTGTTGATGCCAGTAGTCTGCCCCCATCTAGGGAAACATTGCTTGTGTTTCAGAACTGGCTTATTAAATGAGTTTTGTGGAGATCTTGCACTGGGTGGTGGTTGTGATCTGTGATGAGAAACCTTTTTTGTGAATTTTTAAAAATCCAAGTCCTTTTATCCTTAAGGCTGCACTGGGAATTGCAAACCTCATTGTTATGGCTATGATGGAAAGTGGTGTTTCTGCTGAGGAAGCCTATAGGAGAATATGGATGTTTGACAAATATGGTTTACTGGTTCAGGTAAGGGTGCACCAAGCCTTGAAATACCACAGTACAGATGGCCAGATGCTTTCTGTGTCTTCTGCACAAAAATAATCAACCTTTTATCTACAGGGCCGAGAACAAAAGGTTGATGCTAATCAAGAACCATTTACGCATCAGGTTCCAGAGCAGATACCAAAGACATTTGTGGAGGCAGTGAATGTACTTCGGCCTTCAGCTATCATTGGTAAGTAAGGCTATTTTTGATCCTGTATCTCCATCGTTCAGTTATTTGCTGCATTTGATTCACTGATGTGGCTCCAGGGAGGTTGGTGACAGTGATCTGCATTTCTGCTGGTGTAACATGAACATGCGAGTTCAGTTTTCTGCTTGAAAATACACTGAGCTGCAGGTTAGCTCACAATGCATCCTTCATTCAGCTGTGGTGCTCCTTCTGCATCTTGTGTCCATACTAACTGCTTCCTCTCATCCTTGTCCAGCTCGTATTAGACTTCCGTAGAAGACTGAGCATGTTTTCAGGGACTGCATGGCCATAATGAACTGAAATTGTAATGAAAGGGACTATGAGTCAGGAAGGCAAAAACACAACCTTTTTTTTCCCCAGACACATCCCCTACATCAGCAGTAAGGTGACAACAGTCACAAACACGGTGTTTTCTCTTTTGCAGGAGTTTTCTAACTGAGTAATTATATTTTTCTGACCTTCCCTCCCCCAATAGCTGGCCAGAATGTGCCAGCAGCATGGGTTGAAGGAGCTTATTTCATGCCACAGGTCACCTCTACCTGTTATGTTACTGACATATGTAGGTATTGATTTATAACCATGGCTGTCTGCAGAGGTCAGGTGGGATTACAGGTATTTCCTAATACAACTCTGCAGTTTCCTTTGCACGTAATTTATCTGGAAAATTGCAGTTTTTTAGCTGAGTAGCTTCCCTAAAGTCTATAGCCAGTGTATGTGTACACTGTTTTTATGTGTTTGCACCTATGTGTTTGGGTGTGGTGAGAAATACCAGCATGAAGGGAATGTGCATTGCACAGTTAACACCCAGCTAGGATGAATCATCTGTGAAGAATCTGCAGCTCCCACAGGGCGGTGATAAGTGTTCTCTGCACATGTTAATACAAAAAAATTATGTAAAATAGGCTTTTGGAACACATTAATTAGATGTTCCTGTGAAAATGAGAATTTTAAGCAGCCAGAAACAGAGCAGTGCCTGGTTTCCTTCTCCTGCTGCTAGAAAAGCCTGCCATGCTTTGCTCTGAGTGGGAGATTTCAGGGTTGGTAAGAACTTAATCTACAGTCGCTGTCACCTGCCCTGAGGCAGACAAGTATTGATTCTATTTTTATGTGTTTCCATTTATTCCAGGAGTTGCAGGAGCTGGGCGGCTCTTCTCTCAGGATGTGATCAAAGCAATGGCCTCTATCAATGAGCGACCCATAATATTTGCACTAAGTAACCCCACAGTGAAATCTGAATGCACAGCAGAGGAAGCATATACACTAACAGAGGTATGTAACGTTCACAAATGTTGATCTTTTGGCAACATTAGTGATGAAATTTTTTACTGACTGAGAATACAAGAACTCAATTTATTTTTTTATTATTTGGAGTTACTGACATAATAATTCAGATCTTTCCTGTCTTCTGGCAAAAAGTAAATGGAGGTGATGTGAAAAGAAGTCTTGATTTTTAAATAATAAAATTTTGCTTAAAAGATTAAAATAGCCCAAATCTTTGTTATTACTTTTAAAAAGAATGACCAGTAGGTGCTGTTTCATAGTTTTACTCAATTAACGGTTTCCCACCATGCTTTTAAATTATTTTGTGTTCTAAAGATGGGGCTTGGAGCAACCTGGTCTAGTGGAGGGCATCCCTGCCTATGGCGTGGGATGGGACTGGATGAGTTTTAGGGTTCCTTCCAACCCACACCAGTCTGTGATTGTATGATCTTAAGTTAATACTGTAATAGAGACTAAGGGATGTTGTGATGGTTGAATAAAATCCTTAAAGCAGGTCATGTCCTTGCATCAGTTCAGGAATTCTGCTTTGTACTCGGTTATTTCCTAGTGTCTGCAAGTCAGAACTCGTATCATTAGCTATGACCCATTAAGACTTTGCTTCCTGTGCAGGAGTCAGTGGTAGCCTTCTGTCCTCGTGAACCCCCTCACAAAGTCTTTGTCTCATACACTGGCACCACCAAACGCTGAAATGAGTGAACCAAGAACAGATATATAACATCTCATTTTGCACCATTACCTCCAAGCCCTTACACTCCAGGGTGTTTGTGGGGGTTGGAGGTTGGGGGTTTGGGTGTTTTTCAGTAACACTATCACCCATCACCTCTGTATCTCTGTCTGTATCTATCCTTCTGCACTATCTATTATATGAAACTGTCTCTGAAGAGAGCTTGAGGGCAGAGGTGGGGGCAAGGGAGCATCAGGCAGATAGAGCACTCTCTCTGACACTGTGAACTGGGTGGTAATGCCTTTCCCCTACATGGTAGCTCCAGCTCACTGTGATCTCTCCTTGTCCACAAGGCCTGCCTGCAGGCTTCAGGGGTGGGACTCATGAAAAGACTGCTTTTTTAACCTTTTTTTTTTCTTAATACAGTCCCAAACCAAGTGACTCATACATGAAAATGAATGGGTGGAGATCTTTCCTTGTTTCTTGCTACAGAACTATGAACTCCTTCCTTCCACTTTTAGTGTGGTTCATTTTACAGCATCACAACCTCAGGGAAGGGTATAATACCATTATGTCCAGTTGGCACCCGGGTTTTCTTTGTTACTGGGCCTGTCAGCTTGGAGGGAGCTCTTATTAAGAGAGATTTGCAGGTCCAAAGTGAGTCCTTGCCAGGAATAATAGCCTCTGGGCAAAAGCTTTTAATAATAAATGAAAACGGTTTTAAATGAAGATGGTTTAATATGTCTCAGATACTTTGCATTAGTCAGAATAGTGACTTGGGCAGTGTTTCAGTATGCAAAATTAAATTCCAATATCTTGGATAAAAATTAAACAAGCAATTACACAGCAAAGCCTTTAGTTGGCCTAAATAAATGTGAAACCCACTAGCATCTCTGATGGCTGAAGGAGGCCAGCAGCACTATAAGAGGGAGAATCAGCCTAATTTTTACTTCCACTTTTTATGGAGTATCAACAGAGCAATAGATGTTTTAAGGGAAGAGGCTCACTTGTTCCCCGTGGCTGTGTATTGAGTCCCACAAGTCAGACCTCGGGACAGTTGTTATCAGATGCAGAAGCAAGATTAGACTGTACTGGTAGGATTCAGGTGTGGTAACAGGTCTTCACTGAAGTAGCTGTGTGAGCAGTGCTATTTGAAGAGTTTGTGCCAAATGGAGAGGGGAACTTTGGTTTTCTCCTGTATTGAATCTATATGTCCTTTTATTCATTATTTTCCATAAGCTATTATTTATAGACATAGATTATTTGGATGATTAAATAGTCCTGGTCAGTAAATTAATGGGTTTAATTTTGTTCCATACATTTTGTAATGTTTCTGGATCTTTCTCCACATCTGATGTTTATTTTCATAATGCTTTTTAGTTCTCTGAAATGTACTCAGTTTACCCCTCGTTTGCCCTTAGAGTGTAAAGTTTTAACTAACAAAGGTTGTCAAGCAGTTAGGAATCAGAGCTATCAGCCCCATATGTCTTCTGGCCTCTGGAATAGCCTAATCCTGGTGTGAAATCTTAGGTAGGAGCTCAGTACGGAAGGTATCATCACTATTCCTTATTCTTTTTCCACTAGGTGGCACCTGTAACAGCCCGACGATGCTTTAGTGCGCTTTGCCACTGGGCATTGTGTGGGCTTTTGTTGTGTTTTAATATTCATTGTCCTTTGGTCCTGTCTCAAATTCATCCATACCTTTTGCTGCCTACACAAAAAGGCTATTGTCATGGGCATGCCCTAACATTCAAACATAGCTCCTGAGACCTTAGCCTCTTTGGTGGTTTGTTTTCAAACCTTGTGGGCCTGGAGAACATTAAGCATTTTAAAGTAATGCTATTAAATCTGTTACTCAAAAGAAAGTAGATATTTTTTTCTTACAGGGAGTTTATTGCCTGAGGAAAGGGTCATTTATCTGGAGGGTGTATTTCACACTCCAGCCTCTGGATTTGCTTTAATGTTTCATGCTGACTAAAATCCTTTCCAAAGGAAAGCAAACTGCATTATTCACCCCTCTCAGAGCTCTCAGCAAGTATGATACAGCACTCCCCCTTTCACCCTCCCACCCATCACTAAACAAGTGCCCTTTTGTTACTGTACTTTTACTCAATCTCCTTTTGGAAGTGGCCATTTTCAGCTGTCTTTATGCAGTCCCTGTGTTTGCGGGTCCCAGTCTTCGTTGTGGTTATAATAATGATTATCGCACAAATACTTTGTCTGTGAGCAGTTCCTGTAAACATTGCTGTCTTAAAGAACTATGAATGATAAAACAAATAGATTGCTCCAGTTCCTTGGAAAGCAGCACAATTCAATGTGTGTGCTTGCCTCTCACTTTCCAGATGTTTGCTGCAATGTTTCTGCAGAAACATGCAGAAGCTGACTGATTCTTGTATCTCTTCCAGGCCCTACTGGAAAGAGTGGGTTTGGTGGCTGTCATCTAGAAACAGAGTCAGCAAGGGATTTAAGTGTATCCTTGAATCCAGTTGCATTCAGAAGGGCCATTTGCCATTTTGCTGCATGGTCAAGTACCTTCCTGTCTCAGACCTAAATCTGGGAGCTGCAGGACTCTGTCCCTGCATTTCTTAATGACTCCATACTCCTGGTTCTTTAAAAAGTTGCCTGACCGTGATCATTCCTCTGTTTAACAGGGCCGTTGCTTGTTTGCCAGTGGGAGTCCCTTTGAGCTGGTGACTCTGAAAGATGGAAGAAGCTTCAAACCAGGCCAAGGAAACAATGCTTACATTTTCCCAGGTAATAAATAAAATTGTTAAAAACCTACTTAAAAATCATTTAATCTAGGCTATTACCACCTCTTCCTGGGTTCCCTTGCTACACTGGGCACAGTTAGTGAAGCAGCATGAGGCATTACCAGCATTTAAATGCTTTAATTGCTTTAAAGCTGAGAATTTAATCAGCGGAATCAATGAAAGAGAATCAGTTAAGGACAGATGTTAGGCCTGTTTAGCTACGCATGCAAACATGCACACGGTGAGCTCACCCAACTGATTGTTTCTAAGAAAACAGAAGGATGTTATTAAAGGCTTTGAAAGCTGCTGCATTATGGGTTCTGCTTATTTGTGGGGGAGGCAGGGGGAGGACAAAACAGTTGTTGATATGCTCCCCTTGAAGTTAACCTCTGCACAAGTGAGAGTACAAAAGAAGCACTGGGGATATTTCTCTCCCTGTCATTCCTGAGCTGCTAATCTGTAGCTCTTTGCTAAAAGCCACCTATTAGGGTAAGCGACTAGCACACATGCTGAGAGTGTAGAAAGCTTTGGGAAGATTAATAAAACCCCTAACATTCTAGATTACTGTCAGCTCTCAGCAGCAGGCTGCTGTTTTAAAGTGATGTGTCCTAATTGGCAATAATTTCATTGTAGGTGTGGCTCTTGCTGTGATCCTCAGCAGCGTTCGACATATTAGCGATAAGGTTTTCCTAGAAGCTGCTAAGGTAAGTGTGGGAACAGAGTAGGCTGGGGCTTCTGACGTGATGGTGGATGGCACGATGGGCAATTTCTCCAGTCTTGATGAAACTCTCAGGTTTCCTGTTGGATTTCTGCGTGGTTTATCCCTCCCCAATGGGAAAAAACAGATTTTGATCAGACAAAATTGTGAAAAGTATCACCTTCCACTGCAATTTTGATTTTTGCTCATCCAGAAACTAAACACTCAAATAGGAAATCTGTCCATGTGTATGTTGCCTCCCCACCTTGTATGTCTGGCAACAGGCCTGAGTTGATCTTTGAGAATTTTAAGATTTTTGACTGTGTTTTTCTAGTGCTTTGGGAGCACTTTAGTAGTAAGAACACTGGAACTTGTTCTCTCAGGTGTTTTAGCGTGTTATTGATCCAATTTGGGAAGCAGTAAATAGAATCCCAGCCTGGTTTGTATTGGAAGGGACCTTAAAGCTCCTCCCCCTCCAACCCCTGCCACAGGCAGGGACCCCTTCCACTGGAGCAGCTTGCTCCAAGCCCGTGTCCAACCTGGCCTTGACCACTGCCAGGGATGGGGCAACCACAGCTTCTCTGGGCACCCTGTGCCAGCGCCTCAGCACCCTCACAGGGAAGAGCTTCTGCCTAAGAGCTCAGCTCAGTCTCCCCTCGGGCAGGTTCAAGCCATTCCCCTTGGCCTGTCCCTACAGGCCCTTGTCCCAAGCCCCTCTCCAGCTTTCCTGCAGCCTCTTTAGGCACTGGAGCTGCTCTAAGGACTTGTTTGTTTTTCTAACCCAGGCGTTGTCGGAACAGTTGACTGATGAAGAACTTGCACAGGGAAGACTCTATCCTCCACTGTCTAATATCAGGGAAGTTTCTATTTATATTGCTGTCAAGGTGAGTATGAAGCATAAAAGTGGACTGTACTAAAAGTGTTTTATGTGTCCATTAAGCTGCTGAATTGCACACTATGACTCTCGAACACTAGGTGCTGGGGCGCAAAGTACCCAGTTCTTTATGCCTTTAATAAGAGATGCTTTAAAATGTCTAAATTTGTTGGATGCTTCAGTATGGCAATGATGGTGAGCCAAAGTTATGCTCCTTTGATTTCTGAAATTAAGTTTTCAGATCCCTTTGGTGTTTGTCTTTATCCAGTTTGTGAGTTCTAAGCATATTGCAGTAGAAGCGCTGGATGCTATGCGAATGTAATAAAAGGCACAAACCACATGGTGATTTAACTTTCCAGGTTATGGAATTTTTGTACGCAAACAACATGGCTTTCCATTACCCTGAACCTGCAGACAAGAACAGTTACATTCGATCAAAGGTTTGGTCCTACGAATACGAATCCTTCATGCCAGATGTGTATGACTGGCCTGAATCTAAGGTTCACTGATGCATCAGAAGATCACACTCCTTAGGCAGTATCTTCTTCTCTGCAGGGATCCCCTTTTCGATCTGATTTAAATCACGATCTTTGAGTCCTGTAATTTATTTTCACTCATTTTGTTGTCTTTTTTTTTTCTTACCCCCTTCTACCCTGTTTTTCACTTGACATGGATTTCTCCCCACTCTCCCAAGTACCTCATAAACTGTATGGATGATGACATCTGTCACAGGAATGAGAGAGCTCTCCAGAATTAATTTAATGACACTGTATTTCTAGCTTAAAGCCAGCACCACAGTAAAAATTCCATTAATGATGTTTTAGAAACATGTGCTTGATGATGAATTATAGCTCTCTCATCACTGCCGATTTCCAGAATGATTTATTTCTGCTTTAAATAATCAGTCTTATAATTGTCCTCTTATTGTCACACTGCATTATCTGTGACATCACCAGAGAGCATTTGTCAAACAAAAAAAGTAGCTTAAAACAAAATTAACAGTCTAATTTTTTCAAGGCTAGGTTGGACAGAGCATTGGGCAGTGTGGTCTAGGGTGATGGCAGGGGGTTGGAACGTAGTGATCTTAAGGTCCTTTCCAACCCAGACCTGTCTGTGATTTTATAATGGGGTTTCTGGTTTGTCTGATGTTTAAAGTTTGCCATATCCAGTCCTGCTTGTGGCGTTGGCTCCTCTATTTCTTTAAGTGTGCTCTGAGGACCAGCACGGTTTGCAGATGTGGACTCTGCAGCAATGTTTGTGTTTCATGTTTTCATCATTGTGTGAAATGTATGAATCAGGAAAAATGTGAAACAGTTAACATTATCCTTGGAAAGCCCGAAAATAATACTAATCGCTTAGCATATTTTAAAAACAAAGCTATACTGTTGCATAGTAGATTTTATCATGTAAAGGGCAGGATCTGAGATAACTAACCAAAATATTTTAGAGATTTTCCAAGGAGAGTTCCTGCAGCAGACTCCAAGGTGATGTACCGAAGGATTTTTGTTTCAGTTGTTAACTTTTCAAGGTTCTGTTTCTTCTAAGTTTAATTGTTCTTTCCCTTGCATACCCATTTCTCACAAAGACTTGTGTGTGAAGCTTTCATGACATTGCAGACTCAAAAACTCCTAAGTGGACTCAGCTGCCACGTCGAACAAATGTCCCACAGGCAGCTGAAGAAGCTGGAACAGAAAATGTTACAGGCAGCTATTGACACACACATACACACAAGTCTGAATGCTTCCTGTGGTCTTCACTCTGGTATATTTGGTTCAGTTTGAATACTGGACTCGAAAGATCTCATGCTTCGAAGCACCAAGTTGGTCACTTCATCTTCCTCACTCCATTTACAGGTTTAATTTGTCAGGGTTTTTTTTGTGTGAACACAAAATGCAAGTTGAATTTTTCCTTGCAATAAGTAGTACTGCACGTTTGCTAAAGATACCACAACGTGCGTTCCTTTCTGGTTGTTTATACCAGGTCGAAGTGCCCTTCATCACTTCATATTAGCAGGCACAGACACACACTGGTACTTATGATCTGTGACTTCTCCTAATCTAATCTCTGTAACTAGAACAGTGGTATCTTAGGAACAAAAATGAGGTTAATGTGCTGTTCCATTGTTTGCTGCATCAAGGCATTAAAAAAAAAAGCAAGCCAAAACTGAATAATTAGACATAACAAAGCGATAGTGGCAAACTTGAAGCCAGTGTAGTACAGATGAAATAAAGCTTGCTCAGGATTTACTCATGGCAAGCACGTCTGTCATAGCTTCATTTAGATTGGAAAATGCAGTCTCCACAGAGTAGGCCTGAAAAAGAACAGGAAAAATAATCTCTGTTACCCCCTTAGACATGGGCTCTGTCACTTACTGCTTAGTCTTTGAATTTAAAATTATCTCCATGTATTAAATAGAAAGAGTAAACTTTGGGAAGGCTTTACCAAAGTGAGGAATGAAGACTGATTACATAAACAGAAAACAGTGATGTGGAGAAATGACTGTGTATTCAAACTGTGGTAAAGTGCTGTCTGGTGGGGCTTGAAATGCTGCATTGCCAACTTGGGCGACATACGTGGTTTGCAACTTGTATATTTAAGCATATACACAAAAAAGACCAACACACACATGAGATGTTTTTACAGAGGATGCTTTTTTCCCCATCTATTTTTGCTGTGCCTGGTTTTTATTGTATTTAAATCTGTGATCTTACTGAAAAATTATTTATTTAGTGTACAAATTATTTTTGCCTCCTGAAAATTCAGCTCTAGCTGAAGCCTGTTGTAGTGCCAGTGGAGTTCTGCATCATTAGATTCAAGTACATTGGGAATGCACACTTCCCCACATCTGCCCACATACTGATCAGGCAAGATGAGTAACAAAAATGTCCCATGCACTGATTTTGTGTCCTGGCTGGGAACGATCACAGAGTAAGGGCAGTCAGTCCATAAATATAACTCTTTGTCTTACAAAATAAAGATCTGCATCCATCTCTTCAGTCTGATCATTTTTTTGAGGCAAGAAGTGCAGTCACAGCCCATGACCAGTGGGCACTGGTAGTACCTATGAAAACCTGCTGCTTGCAAAAATAGCAATGCCTGTGTCCAGCAGGAGTCTTTGTTTTGGGCGAGAGTGAATTCGGTTCCCAGGGGGAGCTCCTGCACTTGAAACTGGCAGTGGCTGCTATCAAGCTGAGGGAAGATGCCTGTTTTGAGCAGTGCAGTCCTTTCCCTTCCTGGCACAGGCTCCCTGCTGTCTTCAAGCAGATGCCAAGAGGGGTCGTTCAGAACTGGCTGTCAGTGGGATCTTCCCAAGTACAAATGTTTCTGCATAAATTTTCTGGAAATACCACTGCACAGGTGAGGCAAAAACAGTCCTTAGCTGGCTCTGAGGCTCCAGTTACTACCTAGCCCTGTCCTGATTGCATGTTTTGGAGCTCTAGAGTAGACTGTCCCTCTTTAACCTGTCCGAGTTACTGCAGCTAACTGGTACCAGTTAGACCTCATCTGTGCATCCGCACTTGTGGACATAGTTTAATCAGGCTCTTGCAACAAAGACATAGTGGAATTTTACCTATAATGTACTGCTGTTTTCCCTTAGCAGCAAGTAACACATCAGCTCACAAATGCTTAAGTGCATTTCACTCTCGCTGTCATCTTTTACAGGTTATTTTTTCTTTATATGAAATACATAGATACATTTCTTTTTCAGTTTTGAGTATTCTTCAGATCCAGTTAATCTTTCAATTAATTACAACTGCTACTCTTGCCGTTTAGTAAGGAATCACAGTAGCATTTTCATATATTACTTAACCTGATTTTTCTGTTTTATGGCTTATTCAAAAGCATTTACTGATCTTTATCTACACAGAAAACTCTTACGCAGTATGCAAAGGGAAAATCTTGTCACCAGGATGCATTTTCTAATGTTACATACTGTAAGTTAAAAAAATATATTGCCTAAATGATGACTAGTGTGCTAGCTCCTCACACAGGGACTTTCCCCTCCAAGTGGTACAGAAGTCTGTATTTCCCATCTCTTCTGTGAGGATCCTGCTCTGGATGTGCAGAACACTTTCAGAGGATCAGAAACTCCCACTGAGGTCAGTAGCTTGGTCTTTTCCAAGACTTGCTTCCTTAAAATCAACAGGAGCAGGACTGAGCCTCATGGCAGCAATGTATAGAAGCATCTAGAGAAGGAGAAGAAAGGTAGTTAAGGGAGTGCAGCCTATTTTGATAAAATATCCATGTTCTTGTTCAAAGATACGATTTTTGTGTTCCCAAAGCCTATGCCCACAACTGGCATATAGAGGAAGACTGTTAAAATGCAGTGTCTGATAGATTTTAAACCCCAAATGTGACTGTTGCATAAATTCTCAGTTATGTTTGTGAATAGTGATGTTTCATGATGTTGTGATTGTTTTCCAAGCTTAAAACAAAGCCACACTGTACCTGCAGATTGGTGTTTAACCGGTTTCCTGTGGTATGTGTGTGTGTTCTCTGTACTGTTGTTTCCAGCACGCTATTTTGTGGGAGAAGGTAAAGTAACTCTTTGTCACACTCCTCTGGTAGTAACTGCAAAGATAAGTGATACTCCTTTTAGTTTTTCACTAGCAGCCCTATTTGGTGACTTCTCCTGTAGGAGAATGGGGATTACTGATGTATAACTACAACTGTGAATCTTAGTTCAGCTGACTCTGGGCCTAACTAAATCCAAGTTGTCATCTTCCATTTGCTCCGGGTCGTCTGGCTTCAAAGGTGCAGGTTTGAGCACCTCTGTCATTCAAATAAAGTTATCTGTGAGCCTCTCGGATCGGACTACAAGTTTGGATTCCCATTCTGTCTCAGCCATAAATGCTATTCCCGAATTTAAGAAAACCACTGTTGTTTTTGAACTCTTTTTAAGGGCATGCATACTGCTATTGTGGTCTGTAACAGCCGTATGTAACAGGCGGGGACTGGTGTTACATTGAATACTGGAGCAAGGAGAAAATCTAGAGCAGAGCTTGAACTGTACCCAAATGGCTGATGAATTTGGGAAACGTAATTCAGTTACCATTGTTGAAGGAACATCTAATTCTGTATGGATCTACACTGACCTACTTACCTGCTTCCAAAAAAAATCATTACCATGGTATCGGGAAGCCTGCAGATGTTCCGGGGGAACAGCAAGGAAAATCCAGCTTCAGACCTCTGCTTCCTAACACTGCTTCCCAAACCGCAGCACTCCATGATGATGCAGCTTACTAGTGCCTGCTCCGGGGGAAAATGTTCATGGGGATTAATCTGGAACCTGCTGGCACAGTGGACCATGGCTCATGTAAAAAGCTGCCTTGCATCAGACATTTTGTGTGCAGTGCAGAAACCTGTGGTTTGCGTTTGTATTCCCTGCACACAATGTTGGCGCTGGATTGCACTTAACTCTCCAACTGTCTTTGACTCACCCGTCCGTTAAGTAGCTCCTTCCTAATGGAAATAAAAATACTGTTAGGAATACACAGACATAGTAAGATGGCCAGTTTGTCAATAAATGTCAAAATAATCCACATTTATTTTTACTTTGAGCATATCTACCTTACAAAAATAAATGTAAGTCTACTGGAGTGCTTATGAGAACAGTTCTAGCTTCATCTGTCCAGTCTTGGCTTTACCTGGGAGGGTCATTGCTCAGCTGAAACTAAAATTGTATTTAAATGTAAACAGGTTGGGGATTTTTCTTCCTTTATAATGTTGTAACTCTATTGAAATGTGTGTTCTGGTCTTCTATTTTCTTAGTAAAATGCATTCCCTTTGCTTATATTTGATATTATTTATTCTGTGAAAATAACACTTGATCTATATGGAATTGGTACACAATTACTGATGGTCCGTTTTATCCCCCCCCTCCCTCCCCCCCCTTTTGTCCCTTGCAAATGATCATAGAATCCCAGACTGTTTTGGGTTGGAAGGGATCTTAAAGCTCATCCAGTTCCAACCATGGGCACCTTCCACTAGACCAGGTTATTCCAAGCCACATCCAGCCTGGCCTGATCAGCCAACAAAACAGGTAGTTAGGCTGAAATTAAGCAATTCCAGTTTTTATTTCAAAATGGCTTTTTTGAACATTTGGTTGTTTTACCGCACTGTCAAAGAAACCCTTTGTAAGCAGGCTTAAAGAACTGTTTCAGTTGGAAAAGACTTGTAGTATTACTGAGTCCAGCCATTCACCAATTGCTGCCAAGGCCACTACTGAAACCTAGCAAGCATAGTGTTGTTACCATCCAGGTCATTTGGAAAAGTCATCCGTGAAAGTGCACAGGTGTTGGAGCGATCTCATCACAGTATCCGCACCACATCCTAAACCTTTGGTACCCATCTTCAAAATGGGTTTGTCTTCCTTGTGCTTCACCTTCTTTCCCTTACACAGGGGTAACCTCAAGTGTTATACAGAGCCCAACATACCCTCACTGCACAAAACATCACCTCCAATCGCATCCTCTTTTGGGCACTGGTGCCAAGGCACTGGCACAGGGTGTCCAGAGAAGCTGTGGCTGCCCTGATATTGATCCGCAGGTAGTATTGATACACAACTTGTTAAGAGTTGTAAAGTAGGTATGCTTTATTCAGCACTGAGGCGCATGGGGATTGCTCCTCCAAAAGCATGCACGCCCCCCCTTTGCCACTCAGTTCATTTATATTCCATATAATGATTACCTAAACATGAGATTGCTTCACACCTAATACATATGCAAAACCTATTCCCGTCTAGTATTACAATTAGTTTTCTGGCATTTGTCCCATTGGTGCACCTGTGCAGTGCCTCCTGGTGGTGGTCGTTAGGGGGTCGTGAGGATGAAGGCCTGTAGTTCCTCTTCATCACCGCAAGTAACCTCTTGCCTTCATGCAGACTCAGTGGGGTTTCGGCTCCTGTCCATACCTCAGGTTTGGTACAAGCCAGTTTTATGTATCTTAAAGTAGAAACTTGTCAAGTTTGTAGATTTTGTTACTCTGGCTATCTTTTGTTCCTTTTCTGTCTAAAGATACTATTTGAACAAGAATGTCTTAAATATTAAGCTATGAATCTTATCTACTACAACTCTGCCTAGCAGCTGTAACTCCTACAATTCTGCTTCACCACTCTAGCAACTTTGACTCCTGTGGTTCTGCTTCACCAAGCACAGCGACTGCTTAAGCAAGCAGGCACAATGTTAACCCTTTATTTCCTGGTATCAGCCTCATCCCTGGCAGTGTTCAAAGCCAGGTTGGACACAGGGGCTTGGAGCAAGCTGCTCTAGTGGAAGGTGTCCCTGCTCCTGGCAGAGGTTGGAACTGGATGAGCTTTAAGGCCCCTTCCAACCCAAACCAGTCTGTGGTTCAGTGAATCATGGAATACATCAAGTATGCTTCTAGGTAGCTTTTGCACAGAAGGGTTTAGAGACATTCACGCCAGGTGTGCACTGACTGGGTAGCATCACGCATATTGGTATCGCTTTCATTCACACTTCAGTTTAGAACCAGCTATCTTCGATTACTGTTAAAGGTTACCTGACACACCATCCCCACCCTGCGGGGCTGTACCCGGGCTGCCACAGGCCGCGGCCGGGACCTGCCGCAGCGCCCCGCCCGGGCCGCAGAGCCGCCTGGGAGAGCGCGGGGGGGCCGGGCCGGGCCGGGCCGCGCTGCGGAGCTGGGTAGGCCCCGCGGAACCGGGCTCCGAGCGGCGGTTTCGGGATCCGTCGTACCCAGCCGCCTGCCCCGGGACGTTCCCGCGGACGGAGCGGCGGGGCGAGGCCCGGAGCGGCGCGGGGGTTCCTGAGGAGCGGAGCTCGGGAGGCTGCTGAGGAGATGTGGCTGCTTTTGCACCGGGGAGAGGGAGAGGGAGAGAGACGTTCATCTGTGGGGTTGGGGGTGACGGGAATCATCCGTTATCTTGTGCTGCGCCATGGGAAGACCGCCCCTGCAGTCTTGACCCCGCTCTGGGGCAGCAGCACAAGAGGGACGTGGAGCTGCTGGAGCGAGGCCAGAGGAGGCCATGGAGATGCTGCGAAGGCTGGAGCAGCTCTGCTCTGGAGCCAGGCTGAGAGAGCTGGGCTGGGGCAGCCTGGAGAAGAGAAGGCTCCTGAAGGGGAGACCTTAGAGCAGCTCCAGTGCCTAAAGGGGCTGCAGGAAACCTGGAGAGGGGCTTGGGACAAGGCCCTGTAGGGACAGGCCAAGGGGAATGGCTTGAACCTGCCCGAGGGGAGACTGAGCTGAGCTCTTAGGCAGAAGCTCTTCCCTGTGAGGGTGCTGAGGCGCTGGCACAGGGTGCCCAGAGAAACTGTGGCTGCCCCATCCCTGGCAGTGTTCAAGGCCAGGTTGGACACAGGGGCTTGGAGCAAGCTGCTCCAGTGGAAGGGGTCCCTGCCTGTGGCAGGGGTTGGAGGGGGAGGAGCTTTAAGGTCCCTTCCAACCCAAACCAGTCTGGGATTGTGTGATTCTAACACAGCTTTCCGAAGGTTGTGCTGCTCATACAGACCAGCCGGGCTCCTCATCCGGATGCTACAGTGGGTACATCCAGCACTGCACAGCTGATTGTGTCGATCCTTCAGCCGCAGTAGGTGTCCTGTGGGCTGTTACACAGCCTCATGTCTATGTAAGCCGTGGTAATTTGGTTTGGTTTTCCACCTAACACTGAGACATCAAACAAGCTTTCAGAGGTGCCTTTGCAAAGGCAAAGTAAATCGGGTCACTGCTGCCTCATGTGGTCTATGAATTTCTCTTGAGGGGAGCAGATCTCTCACCTCTGCATTGTTGGGCTGCCCACTTCTGACATCCAATAACAGCATTCAAGTGTTGGCAGTGGCTGTGCTGCCAGTCATTCCGAAACGGCTTTTAGAGGAAAGCACATGCGAGAAGACTCAAAGTGTAAAGAAGAAGGACAAAGTAGTAGTGTCTTTAAAGATTTGAGCGTTTCCAACTGGATCGGGCTGTGTGTTTGGGTGACAAACAGTGTCCTTATGTTTAGGCTGTTTGCAACCTTCCACTGCCATAAAGAGGAATTTCTGCTTGTAAATACTGTGTTGTCTGAAAGTCATACCCTGTTCCAGGGGAGGGGAATTTGGTCCTCACACTAAAGTAGGGAGGATGCCTTCATTTAAACCCAAAATGTTCGTTTCTTTCCCAGCATAAATACAAATGTTCAGCAGCCCAGGATCTCTGTTCCGGGTATACAGACGCACTGAGGATGTCAATGGATATAACTTTCCTCGGCACTGGCTCGGCATATCCCTCTCCAACCAGAGGAGCATCGGCACTGGTGCTTCGCAGGGAAGGAGAGTGCTGGCTGTTTGACTGCGGGGAAGGAACTCAAACACAGTTCATGAAGAGCCATCTCAGAGCAGGTTTGTGCTGTGCAAGCTGTTGCGATGAGGGAAGGGGGCAGTTTCAGGAGCTCTACACAAAACACTCTATTCTTGTGGCATTTTAATACGTACTGAACATGCATGACCCACTGCCTATGGATGGCAGCTGCTGAACCTACTGTGCAGTAAATCCCTGATTGCCCTTTGGTAAAGAATTCTGTTTTGAGAACCAAACTCTCCGTAATTAATGTATCAGGCTTTGTACTTCGAAATATGGGCCGGGGACCAGCTTTAAACCAGCGCCGTTTGTTACCTGTCTGAAGGCAGCTCTAGACAATACCTGCTGTGAGTCTTCCTCTCAGTAATTATTGTGCTTTTGATTTCAGGAAAAGTTCTGTGAATTCATGGTAACTTTTCCATTTTGGCAAATTAAGTAGAAACCAGACTTAAGCCTTCAGTCGCTGTGATTCTCACCCTGAAGTGGCAAGAGCAGACTTCTGACTCCCAAGTTGTAAAGATGGAATTACCCATTATGAACAGAAAACCATCCTTCTGCTCGTTTGAAATCTGAAGCTATCAGGGGATTTAGTGGCCAAATGGATAGATTAATTTTTTGCTAGGGTTACTGATATTTACTTAATTGTTCCTCAATCAAAACAAAGATTCTGTTCTTCCTACTGCTGAGTCCTAACAGATGGTGGAGAAAATGCCTCACTGTGTTGATGTGGAACCTCAGCTGAGGCAGCCTGGTTAAAGTACAAGTGTCTGTAATGAGGGAAGATTCTGGGCTTTTGTAATCAATCAAGAGGAGGGCTTAGACACAGAAACAAAGCCAAATCTTTTAAGTGCAGGTTTTCATCTGTTCCAAAGAAACAAGTCAGGATCTGTGGGGTTCTTGCCTTTCAAAAGCATTGAAATCAAACCTGGATGCTTTTTGGTTTTAATTTACGTTCATTTCATGTGATAAATTCAAAAGTAGGAACAACGCAGATTCCACATTACATTTCTCATTAGCCTACAGATTCCATGCAATATATAGAGGAAGCATGACCACTTTCCGGCACTTCTTCACTTTTTAATATAGCAGATGTCACCAGTCAGCTCTCTTGCATGCTTATAGCACGTTTTGCTTAGAAGGAACTAAAACTTCTGTCCTTGCAGTCTTTGGCAAATCAAGCCAAAATAAACCTAGTGTGGTAACTTATCACTGCCATGGAAAAGAAAAACTGTGGTTTGGAATTTATTTCTGGTTTTATATTAATTTCCCTCCTCCCTTACATTTCCTACTTCTTGCCCCAAAGTGATTATTTCTGAGATGCTGTGCTCATTAATTTTCCTGGGTTTTGTTTTCTTCTGCTTTTTCTTTCCCTGTTGTTCTGATCAACAGGCAGAATTACCAAGATCTTCATTACTCATCTTCACGGTGACCACTTTTTTGGACTTCCCGGCCTGCTGTGTACAATTAGCCTCCAAAGCA